GAGCTCCACATTGCATTACATTAAATTAATGCCAGATGGCCACTTAGGGTGAATAAAACCAATTGAAAATGTTCACACAAGCAGTTAAAGGCCAAATAAAATGAAATTAAAATAAAAAAACGGCCACAGAAAAATGTGTGGAAAAACATTTCCCGGTTTCAGCTTACCTCAAAATCCAAACAAACAAATAAGATTATGTCTGGGCAGGGGCACTGCAAGGGGGCATGAGCTTCCCAGCTGTGGACACACTTAACCTCAGCTGTGTTGGGGCATCCTTATCCCTAAGCCCTCGGATACAAAGTCCAAGTTGGGGTCGTTTGATCTGCTGCAGCCGGGCCCCACTGTACACCTGGCCGTGCTGTCCATCGTGTGCTTTGCTGGCCTCCCTTTGAACTTTGCCCAATGGTTACCAAATCGGCCCAAATGTCTAAACAGGAAATCAATTCTCAACAACCTTTTGTGTTCCACTCACACTGAAGGCACACAGCTCAGGCCAGACTGGCTGTGTTCTATTCGAATCAGAGCTTGGGATTGAATTATGTGCTTGACCAGTGGCTGGCAAAATGTTTGCTCGCTGGCGGATAGTCAGATTAGATGAGCGGTAAAGGCACTGCCATGGAGTGTTGGAGTACTGCAAGACCTTCCAAGAGACAGAGTTTTGGTTGTGTTGTGGAAAGTAGAAACTCTACATCTACTCCGCCGAGATTTGATTCCTTGAATGGTTCTCTCTTCAAATTAGCTCTCAATGCACTTCTCTCTTTGCTTTCTTTGTCTTTGAATGACGTTCTGGCTGCTCTTCAAGCGGAGGCTCTTCCAACATTCAATTGCTTCTGCTTCAGTTGCTGACTTTGCCCTGCTGCTTTGTTGTGTGTGTGTGTGTGTGTGTGTGTGTACTCATGTCTGGGGCATTCTTCAAATGCAACATTTCACCGGAAAGCAGCGGAAAGTCTTTTATATGCGCCCGGCCAACTTCCGGTCCATAGAAAACTAAACTCAGTTACTAAAGAGTTGCCGCTGCCGCTGCTGCTGCCACCGCTACACTGTTGTTTGTTGCCCCAAGTGGTGGCAAGTTAACAAAAGGTGCGCCTATGCATATGCCGCATGCCTCATTGTTGCTGCTTGTTTTTTCTGCTCCTTTTTTTCTACTTTTCTGTTGCTTCTTTTTCTCTGTTCTTTTTGTTGCTTTTGCTGTCGGCTCAAGCCGCAGTCAAGCGGCAATAAAGAGTGCAGCCAGCATTCGGCCTTAAACTTGGCAAATTACTTTAACACAGGTTGAATATTTTGTGCTCTCTTTCACTCACTCTCTCTCTTCCGTTCTCTCTCTGTCTATCTTCTAGCAGCGCCGACCCTAAAGATAAAGCGCACACGAAAGTTACTCAAGGAGAAGACAAAACAAAGAAGCAAAAAAGAAACAGCAAAGAAAGGTGCAAGGCAGAGGCAGCATTGCGACGTGAAGTTACCTCTTATATACCATTTTTTTATATATTTTATTACCTATATCTATCCTATATCTGTACTAAAATCTGTTAGATTTTTAATTGTTTTATTTTGGTTTCTCTTCTAGCATACCCCAAGTACCCTGGAAGTACCTGGAAGACAAAAGTTAATGGATTTCTCTTGTGATATTTGACTTGAACACTGACCCGAACCCGAACTCCAAAACCTGCCTTCGAGCCCCAACAATTCTATATTTTCGTTTGGGACATCTTATTTTATTTCGTTCTTTATGCGCGTCGGGAATTTTTCAACTGACAAAGTTTACATTTATTATCAAGGTGTGTTGGCGCGGGGGTGTGCGGGGCAACAAACAACACATTACGTTTAATTGAATGTTGCGGTTGTGTCGCGCCGACTCCTTCTTCGTGGCACGCGCCGCCCAAGAAAAGAACAGAAATTATAATGTAGTGTAAATATTTAATGATGATGTGGCTTTAGATTACGCAGCCGTCACGTGGCAGCACCTCCCACTCGCGTGTAATGGCGGAGGCTGGAACGGGCATGGCAGGCTTGACCTGACCTGACCTGATCAATTCAATGAGCTGGAAATGTCGCTACCTGCAGGCGTATTTTTTACCTGCGTACGCACTGTCAGAGGTCCCCAAGACTTGATGTAATTCCTTGAGCGGGGCAGGCACTGAACCGCAAAAAGCAACGGGCAGCAGATATGCAAATAAAAGTGAAACAGATATGGCATTTATATGGTTATTTTTTTTAATGAGGCTGAATAAGAAAGTAGTTAAACTTTACTAGTATGTACTAAAAGAAGGTAAATATCTTAAGCCATAGGAAAATATGCATTGAGCTAAAAAATTATGTTTGAATTTCTCGCGGCATGTCCTCGAAAGTTAGTCGTGGAGTTGCCACACCCGCAGAGCAAGTCACTCTTGCAAACTATCGTTCCATTATTTACTCGATACTTCATCCAAACTTCATAAATATTTGGCAATTTTTCAGCTGTAGTTTTGTTGACCTTTTTTTAGTTTTTACCGTATGTTTTAAACACTCCATTGGCTAAAATGTATCAATTTTGTAGAAAATTGATTATTCGTTCAGGAAAAAATATGTTGTTGCTGCTAATGTTCTTAACGAGCCTGTAATATTAAACCAAACTCCAAAATGAAAGAATCTGATTTACGTCGAGAGAGTCACGGCCGTAAGCTATCGAGTGCAGTGACCAATCGATTGCATGTATAGTGGTGGGTAAACGAAAAGTGCACTTTATATATTATTGGTATTAGTTGAATTGGGCTAAAAACAGTAAAAAGAGTTATTAAATAAACGATAATATGATTAATAAGATTTGAATAGATTTCATACGTACAGAATTCATGTATATGCCATATTCAAGTGCTCTTAATGCTTATCGCACAAAAATACCGATAGTGTGCACATCGATATATTGGTACATCATGTGAATAGAGAAAATTGTACGTCATGTGATTGTGGATTCTTTTTTTTCGCACGAAGCAGTCACCTGTCGGCCGAGAAAATACAATTACGCCTTCAATTTGGTGAGTGTGCCAGCAAAATATGGAAAATTCAACACTCTGGAACGTCTTTCACATTAGCTAGACAAGAAAAACCTGCAAAATGGCGGCCCAAATACGCACAGTGGTGACATCGACTTTCCTGGGGCTCTTCGCGGCCGCGGCCACCATCCTCATCCTGTACTTTGTTATGACTGGCAAGGGCGAACGGGTGAGCGTTGGCTGGTTCCTCGCCTCGTCGAATCCGTACATGTGGGCTTGCCTCGGAATTGGACTGGCCGTCTCGCTGTCCGTGGTGGGCGCCGCCCTTGGCATTCATACGACGGGCACCAGCATTGTTGGCGGCGGTGTCAAGGCGCCACGCATCAAGACCAAGAATTTGATTTCCGTCATCTTCTGCGAAGCGGTGGCCATCTACGGCCTGATCACCGCAATTGTGCTCTCCGGCCAGCTGGAGATTTTCCAAATGGAAACGGCCCTCAACAATCAGGCCATCATGAACACCAACTGGTTCTCGGGCTACTTGATCTTCGGTGCTGGTCTTGCCGTCGGCCTCGTCAACTTGTTCTGCGGCATTGCCGTGGGTATTGTTGGCTCCGGTGCTGCTCTCTCGGATGCCGCCAATGCGGCGCTCTTTGTCAAGATTCTGATTGTGGAGATTTTCGGCTCGGCCATTGGTCTTTTCGGCCTAATTGTGGGCATCTACATGACATCCAAGTCGAAGATGGGTGACAAGGAGTAGGCCAGTCTGCCAGTCGTCAGAGTAAGTTTGGACAACAGCTAAATGGATTGCAGCAGCAGCCTAATGCAGTTTCTATCCCCATTTGCAGAACAATAATCAGCCATCAAGTCATTCCCCTACCCCAAAACATCAGTGAGGATTTGGAAATTACAACAATAAGCTTGCAGTTTACACAGTTTGCCAAATCTGCCGAGACACGCTTTAAACTGGGACTTTAGTTACTTATTAAGTTGATAGTTTTTTTCTCTGTAGTTTTGTTTATTTTTACGCCACGCCCACTCGCGCAATTTATCAGCATCCAATTTTCAATTGATTGCTGAGTGTGCATGGTGTAAAAATGACAACGATTTCGTTTTGTTTATATAATTATTTAAACGAAAGACATTTCTTTGTGTATGTGTGCGAGCGTACGTGTGTGTGTGTGTGTATTTATGATTATAAGCCGAGTTTGTTATGTTTTTGTTTCCTTCCTGGCAATTGTGTTTCTAATTGAGAATGTATTATATTAACTACTACAAAAAACGATGAAATTGTATACTTAATGAAGATACACAACGGTCGCATTATTATTATACATACATAGAAAGTATTCCATATTAAACAAGTAATAAAATCTATACGTTTTGTTTATCAATCGTGAATGAATCTGACTGACTTCGAGGGCTTATCAGAAGCACGCGCAAAGTTGTTATGTGTCACATATGTACATACATGTATCAGCTGTATCTAAGTACATATGTAAAAATATCAAATTGGGACTGCTTAAGGTCACTCTCCTTATGTAGCTGTACGCTGCATCGGTAGAACTGTTTAAACTGTTGTAATTTCAGCAGTTTGGAAGCTACGTCTGTGTTATCTTAAATGTGAAAAGTCAATAACTTGAAAGGAGATTGTGACTATTTTATTTTGAGTTATATTTAATTTAAATTGCCGCTCCATTGTTATACAGCACTTATGTTTTTCAATGACCAACACTTCAATCAGGGCTGCATAGTACCGATAGTACTATCGATGGCTAATCTTGATGGCGATCTTAGCTTTCTGTTTTCCGTTTCTGCATTGTTGCTAACGGGTACTTACATGTACTGTAGCAAAAGTGATTATATCATTGTTATACCCAAATTATAGCGAACCAAGTACCATTTATCGCACAAAAGTACCGATATAAATATCAACGAAAAGTGTGCATCGATATATATTTGCCGCCGTTTATGAAAAGCTAACGCCATCTTGTAATCTCTTTCTTTCCTTCCTTTTCAAGTCTCCTTCTTTTCTTTGAAACGGTACAGCCACACAGACGTGCACGAGCAAAATTCGTAATTTGCAGTTTATTTTGCATTAAAATGTCAGAATCCGAAATCGAAACGCCTGTGCAGATGGCCGAGGCGCCTGTGGTGCCCATCGAAACTGTCGATGATGAGGTCTGGGAGGAAGAAGGAGTGGCTGCTGCCGGCTATCAGCAGGCCAATGAGTGGCCCGAAATCAAGCTATTCGGCCGCTGGGCCTGCGATGACATATCCATTAGTGATATTTCGTTGCAAGACTACATTGCCGTGAAGGAGAAGTTTGCTCGCTATTTGCCGCACTCGGCTGGACGCTATGCGGCCAAACGTTTCCGCAAGGCCCAGTGCCCGATTGTGGAGCGTCTCACCAGCGGGCTGATGATGAAGGGACGCAGTAACGGCAAGAAACTGCTCGCATGCCGAATCGTGAAGCATGCCTTCGAGATCATTCACTTGCTGACATCGGAGAATCCGCTGCAAGTGACTGTGACTGCGATTGTCAACTCGGGGCCACGTGAGGACTCTACACGTATTGGACGCGCTGGCACTGTGCGCCGTCAGGCTGTGGATGTCTCGCCATTGCGTCGCGTCAATCAGGTAATCAGAACATAACAAAATAAAGCTAAATGCAAAGAAATCATTCCCCCCATTTTCCTTGCAGGCCATTTGGTTGATCTGCACTGGGGCACGTGAGGCTGCTTTCCGCAACATCAAAACCGTTGCCGAGTGTCTGGCCGATGAGCTGATCAATGCCGCCAAGGGATCGTCCAATTCGTATGCCATCAAGAAGAAGGATGAGCTGGAGCGTGTGGCCAAATCGAATCGTTAAGTTGCGAAAATTTCAATATAAACACACACATACATATGCGTTATGTATGCAATCATTTACGATGTAACTGTAAATACAGTGTTGTATTGCCATAAACATATAGCTGTTTCATTCTAACAACCGTTGCCGGAGTACAGACTCCCGCGCTTTGAATATGCAGCCATCTCTTTCTCGCTGCAGTGTGTACTGTTTGTTGCCAATTTTAAAGGCTCTCCAGTCAGCCTCCCTCACTTTGATTTATCAATCAATCTGTGTGGAAATCAATTTCTATTCGTTGAACGGAGTGCTAGCATCTGAAAAATCATGAACTTTCGCAGTAAATTCATTTTGCTGATAATTACCATTTCGATCGTCGTCATGGCGGCTGTGATCCTCAGCCACGTAATGACGAACATTGGCGAGCGCATGGGATTTGGCTGGTTTCTGTACACATCCAGTCCGTACTTGTGGGCTGGCCTGGGCATTGGGCTATCGGTGTCGCTGTCCGTAGTGGGCGCTGCCGTTGGAATCTACACTACGGGGACCAGCATTGTCGGCGGTGGTGTCCGCTCGCCCCGAATCAAGACCAAGAACCTCATTTCGATTATATTCTGCGAGGCGGTGGCCATCTATGGCCTCATCATGGCCATCGTTTTGTCTGGCAGCATAAACAACTATCGCCTGGCGAAGATGCTGAGCAACAAGGCTCAAATGGCCAAGAATATGTACACAGGATTCGCTGTATTTGGAGCCGGGCTGGGCGTCGGACTGGTTAACATCGCCTGCGGCGTGTCTGTTGGCATTGTGGGCTCTGGAGCAGCCCTAGCCGATTCGGCCAATGCGTCGCTGTTCGTCAAGGTGCTGATTGTGGAGATTTTTGGCTCTGCCATCGGTCTCTTTGGACTGATTGTGGGCATATACTTGACTTCCAAGGCGGAGATGATCTAATGCCCGATTACAAATCAAAACTATTATTTATTAAGGCGCCTATTAAAGTAATTAAACACTAATCTTCCTCATCGTCGTCGCTGTCATCAGCCTCGTCGTTACTGGCCGCCTGATCGCTGCCCTCGTCATCCTCCTCGTCCCAGTGCTTGATCTTTTTGTTGGTCATAAAGTCCTCTCGCAGCACATTCCACTCCGACTTCTTTTTGCCAGTGGAGGACGCTGCGGCAGTGTCATCATCATCCTCGTCCTCATCATCATCATCATCCGTTTCCTGCTCCTCCTTCTTGACAGCGTTGTCTATGGCCGTGGATTTGGCCCGCTTGCCGCTCATCAACACGTCGAGGAACTTTCTCTTGTTGATATTATTCAGCACTGCATCCTGTCGACTGTCCAGTGGCCCCGCATCAGCCAACTGCTGCTCGAGATCCTTCTGCTGAATACGCACAGCGTTGAAGAACTGGACGACACCGCGAGTGGCCACCTTGCGCAGTGTTCGCTCCCTCTCCAGGTCCTGGTAGCTGGGCTTCACTCTCAGCTGTAGCGGAACATTTTTGCACTCTGATTTAGTCAGCTGCGCGTCCAATGCGGATCTGTTAGCGTCGCCATTCTCCTCGTCATCGCTCTCCTCCTCTTTAACATCGCCCCCGACGACTTCAAAGTCGAATCCTGGCTTCTTTGCTGCCTCGCTGCCTTTTGAACGAACGACTCCGGGATTCTTTTTTGCCCGGGACAGCACGGTGGGTCCCACCGACTTGCTTTTTAGCACCTTTCCAATACAATCTGCCCAGCCGGCGTTGGCGCCTGTGTCACCGTCAGCATCCTGACTGTCTTCAGAGTCAGATTCGTGGTGGGAACTGTCTGTAGCCGGTTCAGCCTCTTTTTTCGTGCGCTTCGCAGTGAGAAGAGCCATTTTAAGAGCTTATTAAATGAAAACTAATTTTAAAAACAAAATACGCGTGCTCCTCACGTTGTTAGGGGTGGTATATAAATGCGATAGCCGTCATCGATAGCTAACGATATCGAGTACAAAAAGCTACGATAGTACCATCGCTAAACGGGGACAAAAAGAAGAAGCATTGCAGGCTGATGACAAAAATTGATGAAATTTTTGTGTAAAAAAACAACAAAAGGTAGACAATGCTGAAGAAGAAACTAGAGGCCTTGGGGTATCCCACACCCAGTGATATGGCGCTTAGCAGTAAGTACTATGTAGTCAGATTTCGAGCTTTATTAATAGTGTAATTTCACCACAAACTAGATCGCAAGGATTTTGCGAGCATTGTCCTCTGGCTGGAGGACCAAAAGATACGACAATACGCTATAGAAGACCGCGTAATACTGCGCAATGTAGAAAATATCGAAATGTGGGAGGATGCCTACCAGAAGTACTGTGCAGACCTAAATATGCCGAGCCTGGGGACACAAAACGAACAACTCGCCTGGATAGTGGGCCATGCCATACGTCTGGAGTTTCTGGACGATCCAGCCCAGTACGAGTCGATCAACAGCAAGCAAATGCAGCCCAAAATCAACAACAAGCAGTCGCAAAAAAAAGAGCAGATGATATTTGACGGACAAATTAATGGTAAATGAGAATTCGTAAAGAAAAAAAGAGTACATTAATATTTTATTTTCTCTGTTAAATAGTTAACGATAAAGAATTTATTGCTGGAGTGCGCACACTGGCTGGCCAACTAAATGTGCCTCATCATCCGAATCATCTGGTGCAGCTGGAGGCCGTAGCCAGGGTGGTACACGAACGCCTTTCGCCAGCTGCCAGGGGACGACAGCCCATTGTGGGAACACCCTTTCCATTTGACAAGGGCAACGATGTGGTGTCCGACAGTGATGCCGCCCTGGACCTACCCATGCGCATACTGCGCCTCTTGCAGATCCAGAGTCTGCGTCAGTTGCAAACGCACATCAATGAGACGATCGTGTCGGTTCAAAATCTAACTGCCAATCCAAAGACTGACACCAAGCTGGGAAAAGTTGGATTCTGAAGTGGGGATGGATATTCTAATGAACAGATGCAAAAGCCAAGCAAGAACAGTACATAACTAATTTAATGAGTTGGGGCTAGCTAATAAAACCGTCTAGCGTCTAGCAAAGAATCCATGATCCTTGGTTACAGTCTGTGCTGGCGTCGTTCCCTCTGGTTCCTCCTCAGCGCTTGACTTTAAAAAATTTGCATTTCCGAGGCGAGCCACGCCCAGAGCTCCAACAGCTAATAAATGGACATTGAACCATTAATAAGGGAAGGGAGTGCTCAGTGTGGACAGGGAATACGCACCGGCGGCCAAGCCCTTCATTGTGTAGTTCTCGAGCGGCTTGCTGCGCCGCTTTGCCTGGGCCAACAGAAAGAATCCGATGCCGATCAGTCCGAAGCCGCTGACCAAACGACAGCCCAAGCAGTCCACTTCACTGGTGTTGTTGTCTTTGTTCCAAAACGACAGTCTTCCAATCATTTTGACTTCTTTAAAATAATACAAATTTAAAAAATAATAGATTTTACTCCAAAGGCCAACTCTGGAACACACAACACATACGATATATCGATAACTATCATGTAGCAAACACGTTTATATGTGAATGTCACAAACAGGTGTACATTTTAAATTGTTACATTTTTGTTGAGATTTAATTGACAAAAATGGAATTTCATCGTAACGATGCCATGCTCATGGAGATTCTGCAAGATCGAAAGACCATCGTGGGATTCCTAGACTCCATCTTTGGTTTTCTGCGTCGCAAGTACATAGATTTTCACCTAAAACTTGGCACATTTAATATTCCTGCTGAAAACTGTCGATAGCACCGACTTTTATCACACAAAAAAGGATGAGGCTGACAAAATTGGATTTCCCAAAGGCATGCGGGACCAGATACTCTATGGAGCAATGCAGCGCTATGACCCGGACTGCGCTCTTCAAGCAATGAACGACGAGAGTGAAATGCCAGTGCCGCCGGCTGTGCAGGAAATTATTGTGGAGAGCAGTGATGCACCCAAAAGTGAGGCTGCTACTCTACTGAAGTCTGCTTTTTCCCCCATTGACTACAAGAATGGAGCTGCCTTTGCCAGCCATTGCTGGTCGCAGACGTTAAAGGATCTGGAAGTGCAAGTGCTGCTGCCCGAGGAGCTAAAAACATCTAAAAATTTGAACATAGAAATCAGAGCTCAAAGTCTTCGAGTGAGCAGCAAACAGAATGCAGGGCACGTGCTTATAGAGGGAAATCTCAGCCAGCGGATCAAGCACAACGAAGCCTTGTGGACCATTGACCACAACATGCTGCACATCAGTTGTGGTAAGTACTTGGACAGTGATTAAATAAATATCTTAAGTAATTCCTTTCCCTTTCGCTAGACAAGTCCAAGGAGCTGTGGTGGGATCGACTCTTTGAGGCTGACGCCGAAATTGATACAAAGAAAATTGACTGCGAGCGCTACATAGACGAGCTTCCCGACGACACACAGGCGACCATACAGAAGCTGCGAGTGCAACAGTTGGAGGCTGATAAGAGGCAGAGTCAGCTGCAGGCTGCCAATCCGGAACAGGCCAAGACCATGGAGCGCTTACGCGTTGCCTGGGACGCTGAGGGTTCACCATTCAAGGGGCAACCATTTGATCCATCCATTGTGAGGATGAGTTAGTCTTTAATGTGTTAATATAAGTACTAGAGCTAAATGAGAAGTTATTTTTTGAATTACTGAGCCTTCAGCTCGTGTTTCTTGCACTGCAGTTGCTGCTTCTGGTAGGCCACATCCTTGTCGTCCGTGGACCAGGCCACGTACATGTACACGGTGAGCAGCGAGGCCAACAGCAGGCGGTCCAGGCTCATCACATTCGTGGCAAACAGGATGACCGAGAGGCCCACAAACGAAGGATGACGAAAATGGGAGTAGAGATTACGCAGCTCTTTCGACTTGTAGGCAATGGGCTCGCCATACTCTTTGAGGTCATAGTAGACCTGCTTGATGCCCAAGAGCTCTGGCAGATCCATTATGAGGCTGCCGCCAAAGATAACCGCCCAGCCAAGGCCATGGGTGACCACAAAAGTCCACCAGAGTGGAGCACTTTCGTCCACATCAATTTGCCACAAGACAATCGACTGAGCAGGCAGCCAGTTCTCCAGCAGATACTGCAAAGTGGAAAAGCGTTCAATTAGTGTTTGCCTGACTGTTTCTTGGTGTAGTAATAATACAAACATGTAAACAAATCGATGACGTCAGGCTATAAATAGTTCGCTCTGCGGCAGCCAGGCCCAATGTGCGCCACAAATGCTTCACCATTGCTGACTTAAGGAAGCTGTGCTGGAAGATGAACGCGATCAGGTAGAGTGTGTCGAACACAATCGGGCCATAGGCGGTCTCCAGCCGGGACTTGTTGTCCAGTAAATTGAAAATCCAAGTGTGTGCCTTCGAGATGGAGCGAGGTGTGGAGAGAAACAGCATCAGCTTGCCAACCACGAAAAAAGTATACACGAAAGTGGCCACAGAGGCGAGGAGCAGCAACACCTTGGCAAAATTGGCCATGGTTTACAACAAAAAGCAACACAATAATACTATTAATTAATGGTAAAATCTATGTTTATGTGATGGCTTGGACGGACGCAATAGGGTTGGGCGAAAACTCGATAACGCAAGCGATACTATCAATGGTTGAAAAATAAGCCGACCATCGATTGTTGCTGTTCACCAACGATAGTATCGAATTTCAGGACTGTTCATAATGTTTCCCTGTCGCCCCACGCTTTGTGCAATTTTCATGAAAACAATAGAATTTATTTTTCTCTTGCGCTCTATTTTGTACTAATTTTCAATGTTATCAGTAAACGTACATGGTTCTCTGTTAATAATTTACATATATTAACATACTGAAGACAAAGCTCCCTTGCTTCTTGAAGGGGTGATTTAAAAGAACCATTCAAATAAAAATTTCCAAAATAAAAGGAGTATTTATAATAAGACGAATTGATGATTCAATCTGATTAAATTGTTTTTTCAGTGTTAAAAGTCTTTGCAAGCTGCTAATATCGAAGGGATCATCAACATCGAGGAATATTATTTAAGACTACGGTATACTTGCGGTATATTTTATAAACGATAAGGTATATTTTAGCATATTTTTGATGGGCCGACGGTATATATTATCGATAATTCCGCGGGCACACTGGTCACACTGCAACATAGTTTTTTTTGTGTGTGTTTTTCCGTTTTCCGCGATTTCTGTATATATCAACAATAAATATTGTTACTTATGCGAAAATAGTGTGCACATTCATGCGAAAGCGCCCAGTGCATACAGTAAGTAAAGAATTGGTTACACGAAATTGCTGCTGCAGAAATACATGACCCGAGCGAAAGCTTGCGCTGGACAAAAGGGCCACAATGTGGCACACACAAACAATAACATTTCGGCTTAAAACGGGAAACATAGCACAAAAACGGATCAATAGCAATATTACTTAGATGTTACCATATTGTCGAGTGGGCTGGGTGACCGGAAGAGGACTGGAGATGAAGGCGGACGTGACATGTTGCAAGATGTCAGCACGCATGCACCCTGAGCCCGATGCCTGCTGCCCGTCTGCGGGTCTGCAGCAGGGCGGCGTGCCCCACAAGCATTGCCCAATTATTTTGATTTTAATTGGGCGTCAATAGGAATCTGTCATTCTGGCTATTACAAAACGAGTTTATTTGTTCACACAATAATCACAATCGATTTTGGCTTTTTGCAGCACTTGAACGGAAACCGTGCCGGAGACATCGGAGTTTGATGCTCTACACAGAGGAATGGCGGTCAAGGTGCAATTTGAGATTGGCCACACGTCAAAGCTGCGCAGCAAGAAAACCCCACACCCGCAGGCCTTCACCCACGACTGGGAGATCTACGTGCAGGGCGTGAACAAGGCGGACATCAGTGCCTTTGTCGAGAAGGTTGTCTTTCTGCTGCACGAATCCTTTCCCAAGCCGAAGCGTGGTAAGTGTCGGTAGCTGCTCAACCTGCCAAAAGATTTGTGTTTGATTCTATTTTCTTTGCTTTTTCCCATGCAGTCATCAAGGAGCCACCGTATGCCATACAGGAGTCGGGATATGCCGGCTTCCTATTGCCAGTCGAAATATATTTTCGCAATCGCGACGAGCCCAAGCGCATCATGTACCAGTACGATCTGGAGCTGCAGCAGATGGGGCCACCGCGTCACCATGTCGAGGTGAAGACGCACGTCTTCGAGGCCCCCTCCGAGGACTTTCGCGCCAAGCTGATGCGCGGCGGTGGCGTGCCTGTCTTTGGTGCGAATATCGGGGCCAGCAGCCTCAGCCGCACAGTGTCACCCAGCGTTGGTGGCGGTAGCGATGGACCCCACAACGAGGTAGCCATTGTGAAGGCCAAGGGTGGCGGCAGCCAGGCCCTGACCATCGATGCGGCACCCATCAAGAAGCACAAGTCGCGCAACGATGATCCTGGCAAGGCGAGCGCTTTCTCCGCGCTCTTTGGACCGCCCATTACCAAGGGGAACGGCGGCAATATGTTGGCTATTGCCGCACCCCCGAAACACTCGCCGGAGAGCAAAGGCTTGCCTTGCGGCAAGAGCGGCTCGCACGATGGCAAGGAGAAGTCGAGCAAGGAGCGCGATAAGTCCAGCAGTGGGGACAAGCCGCGCGACAAGGACAAAAAGGATCGCCATGGCCGGGACAAGGACCGCAAATCGAGCAAGTCCGGAGAGGGTGGCGGCAAGCATGATCGCGACAAGGAAAAGTCCAAGAAGGACAAGTCCCGTGACAAGGAGCGTGAACGTGAGCAGAGCTCCAGCAGCACACCCTCCTCCACGGCCCTGGTGCTGGGCAATTCCTCGGCATTGGTGAAGCGTACGGCAAGTCCGAAGCCAGGCAAGGCCGAAATGAGTGCGCCTAGTCCCAAAAAGACGCCCACAGATGCGTCCACTGCTCTGGCTGTGCCCACATCGCGCTCCAAGGAGCGAGACGACCACAAGTCCGGAAAATCCGAATCCAAGGACAAGGAGCGCAGCTCCAACAAGAAGTCCAAGAAGGAGAAAAAGGACAAGGAGCGTGAACGCGAGCGCGAACGGGAGAGAGAGCGGGAGAAACAACGCGAGGAGCACAAAGACAAGCGGCTGCCCAAGGATGAGCGAACTGGCCAAACGGACAGTCCGCTGGCCACTGGAAACCCACAACAGCATCAGGGACCGCCACATCAGAGCGTCTCCGCAACGGGCAAAGCGACGCCCACGTCTGTGGGCAGCAACAGCAGCAGCAGTCTGGCCAGCAGCGGCAAGAGAGGCGGCGAGCACAAAGAGGACTCGACGGCGACGGCCACTGCGAAGCATTTGGAGAAAACAGCCACAGATCCAAAGGCCGACAAGGGCACGAGCAATGGCAATGCAGACAACAACAACAAGAAGTCGCACAAGCACAAGAAGAAGGAAAAGAGCAAGGACAAGGAGCGCAGCGAGCGGGAAAAGGACAAGGAGAAGCCCAAGGAGCGGGAGAAAGACAAACAGCAACTGGCAGCAGCAGCAGCAGCAGCAACTGCGGATAAGCCATCAGTGGCTGAGCCATCGCCCAAGACAACGGGCGCCAGTCCCAGCGGCGAGGCCACAGCGACGGACAAATTTGCAGGCAACGGGGCTAGTGTCAATGCCAATGCCGGCAACAGCAGCAAGAAGGAGAAGCACAAGAAATCCAAGGAAAAGGCCTCCAGCAAAGATGACAAACGGCAGCGAGAGGCCGCCGGAGATAAGCAGCCAGAGGCGAAGCACAGCGGCAAGCAGCAGCAACAGCAGCCACAGACGCATACACAGTCGGCACAGAACAAAGCTCCAAGCAATCTAGACCTCAGTGATGTGGACTCGGCACAATCGGCGCCGGATCTGGCAGCCACTAGTGCACTGGCCGCAGCAGCGGCTGCCACGCTCCAGCACTCGGACAGCTCCAACAGCAGTTTTCCCGATCTGCCGGCGAGGGGCAGCCAACAGAAATCAACGACACAGGCGGTCAAGGCCAGTGCGGCGTCCGGCAAAGACGCCAAATCTGCTGGCAAAGAGCACAAGGGAAAGTCAAAGCCAAGCGAAAAGCCAGAGAAGAACGTGAGCGAGAAACCCGAAAGGCCGGACAGAACGCCAGAGACTAGGGCGGCGGACAAGTCCGAGGCAAAGCCAGACAAGGAGGAAAAGAAACGGAATCGTCGCAGTTCACAGAACAGCAACAGCGGCAGCGGTGGCGGTGGTGGCTTTATAGAGCCGCCGGTGAAGCCCTCAAAGAAGGAACAGAACAAGGCGCCCCGCGAGAAATCCAAATCGCCCTCACTGCGTCCCTCGAATGCAAATTCCACAGCCCTGGTGCCAGTGTCTGGCTCGGCGGGCTCAGGATTCCTGCCGCCGCCACCATCCTCGCCCAGCAATAGTCACCCCAGCGGTGGAGCGACAGCAGCCAATAGCCTGAACAACAATAACAACAACAACAATAACAATAGCAGCAGCAGCAGCAGGCACTCGCCGGCTGAGCTGACGCCCTCGCTGCAGGTGAGCACGACATCCCTGCCAACGGAATATCTGAGCGAGCTGCAGGAGCTACATCACAAGATAATGACTCTGCAGGACAACGAGGAGCTGCAACAGGTCGTCGAAATGATTGCGGCCACCGGCTGCTACGAGATCACGCACAAGACCTTTGACTTTGATCTGTGCAAGCTGGACCGTGTGACTGTGCAGCGGCTGCAGGAGTTTCTGGCCACCTCCGTCTCGTGACACCAAATGGGTAATGCCGCCGCCGCACCAGCTCTCTACAGCTAGACGATGCACAAAAAAACCCGCATGCACATAACCAAATCGATAAACGTTAAAGAAGTTTTAGTTTAAAAAAGTTAGTAAGTGCCCAAGTCCCACACCACAGGTGGTTCCCCCTATGTGGCTACCCTACGCTCCCCCCCCCCCCCCCCCCCCCCCCCCCCCCCCCCCCACCACTATTTGTTTAGATTGTTAAGTAAGAGGCCAGATAAGCGAGCAGCAGCAGTATGCGATACTCTCTCTCCCACTCTCGATGCACAGGAAGGCTATCTATAAGCATACACAAAAACCTATCCATAATTTCCATACATACAGTAGTACCTACTGCCTATAAATTTAAATAAATATATTCAACATTTGATGACACCGAACCCTTGCTCGAGACTCATTTACAAACTAAGAAACTATATTATTCTTATTGGTTTCCTATTCGTTTATAAATAATATGATTACGTTTTTTTTTAACTTATGCATCTACATTTATTTGTATTAAGATCTTTTTTGATACTTTTTACTCTTTAATTTATTGAGTATTTAACTATGCAAAATAAATTATACATTTTGTACAATTTCGAAAGATTTGGCGCGATTTTTATTTATTTTTTTAACCAACCAAACGAGAGCGTAAACCAGAAAGAATAAAAACTAAACCGAAATTGAAGCAAGTATTATAGATATTATCTAGATATATGTACACCCCAAAATTATGCACAGTGCCAGAAAATATATATAAACAGTAGCATGAAGGAGTGCCGCAGCCCACTTCCCTTAAGGATTATAATGAACGAGTGTTAAATGCTCGTGCCAGCAGCAGCCTTGAAAAACACATACACAAATACGTATAATAACACATTAAAAACCAATGGAATGTAATGTTTAGTAATGTATATACGCGAGAACGAATTTACGCAAACAAAAGTTAATTTTAAACCACAACCCACAACCCAGAGCCCAGACCCAGCCCAAGAGCCCTGTGGTTCCCCCTTTTCCCAACAACAAAGAAAAACAACCCATTACGCGTATATACTTATCGTATAATGTCTGTATGTGAAGAAATGTTTATCAATATTGAAATAAAAATTACATACAGGCATACTATAAATACAGTGCTATACAAAAATATATTTATATATTATTCGTGTTGGGTATTTGGTTTCAAGGAGAGGTCGTTTCATCATATCATTTCATTGCTTTGATTCTCTACATATAAAAATGAATAAATTAGTATTTGCTTTCCAGTTGAGTAAGGAAGGAACTAATATTACAACAACTGAGGCAGATTTTCAAACTTAATAACAAACTAAAGAGAGCGAGCGGCGTAGTCTTGCGGTGGCAAAAATGAAAACATTGTGGGCTGAACACTCGAATTACTACAACTAAAAACTAAACAAAATCATAACAGCAATGGTTTATTCGAATATTATTCGAGCTAATTGATTAGCAGTGAGACTAGAGAGAGTTTACGTTGACTAGTCGCGGCAATAGCAATATTTCCGCATTTCTGGATCACGATCGTAGATACATCTGGCCTGATTGCCATACTTGTTCACACGTGAGATATCCGTGAGTTTCGTTGTGGCACTGAATGTCTGCAGGTTGTGGGACACGCTGGCCTCGTACAGCCCATTGCCGGGCTGTGTGACCAGCTGCAGCTGATACATCTCATCGTGTATCTCTGTCTGGCCTGTCAAATCCGCCAGGAAGCCATCCCTGTCGCTGTTTGTCTTGAACTGCAGCAGTTCCTTGTGCGGCTGCAGGCGCAGTGCCCAATTCACGCGAAGCAACTGAAAAGGTGAACCAAATTCATGAAAAAATCTCCTAAATGTTTTTAGGATGTTACCTCTAGGGGAGCGCAGAGTCCTCGCTGCTCGACTGTGGCCGCATTGATGGTGTCCACAATGCTCTGAGCCACCTTTAGGATGATGCCAGCGTATTGAGTGTCATTCAGCTGCAGCGAGCGCCAATTGAGGCAAGCGCACCAGTGTGGCTCTATGTAGGCATCGGCACAGGATCGATTGCTGGGTATGGGCTCCAGCAGCGAGATGGCGCGTCCTCGAGCCAACTCCGAGATGTGTATGTGCATGTCGTTGCTCTCGACCGTCGACTCTTCATCGCTGGCAGTCTGCAGCTCTGTGGAGATAAATCAGTTAAGATGATTCCACATAACGATTGAAAGTTGTAGACTTACGAATGATATGCTTCAGTGTGGCATGCACATCGAATGGCGTCGTGAGGCGCTGCTCGTTGGCCACAAAGTTCTTGTACTCCTGGGGGAAACGCTTCTTAAAGGACTCGGGAAAGGCAAAGCTAAAGAACGGCAGTCGCTCCTCCTGTTTGCCTTGCAGTGTCGCACGCACCTCGGCAAAACGATTGCCATGATCGGCCATAAAAATGAGAATGGTGTCGTCCAGCAGAGATCTCTCCTTGAGCGTGACCAGCCAGTCGTGCACATCATCATCGGCGGCGCCCACCAGATTGATGGAATCATGCGAGAGTCCGCCATGAAAGCTAAAGACAAAGCGCGGTGCATCTCTATATTTAAGCATAAACTAAAAAGGAAATTCTCAAAAACAGATGTGGGAAATGCTTAAGCCAAAGAACTTACATTCTTGGTGTACTCCAGCATGGTGAGATGATCCGGCTGATGGCCAATACAGTTGGGCTGACTGTCGCTTGCCATTTGCTCTGCCTGTACGAAATAAGTGCGCAGATAGTGGTCCACGGGCTGCGATTGAAAGCCGTTCATGCGGTACGTAAAGGTGCCAACATTGGGCAAGTCCTCGTTGAAGGAAGTCATGTAGCCGAGACGTGCAAAGTCCTGCCAAATCATGGGATATGAATCCACGCTGCCCGAGCCCGAAAATCGTTTCCTTGTCTCTGGCAGCTCCAGTTCCGTAAAGCCCGTGAGCAGTGGCACCAGCGCCTGTGGCGTGCCATCGCCCACAATATTATATCCCTTTAGCACGGTGGCGCCCAGTTGATTGGTCAGATACTCGTAGGTCTTTGGCAGCTTGCGCATAAAGGCGTTGCGACTCAAAGAATCGAAGCCAAACATCAGGACATTGTAGAACGAGGCAGTCGGCACTTCCTGCAGCTGAGGCTGGGCCTGGGCCACTGCCTCGGGTGGCAATACAGCCAGATTTGGTGCAAAATTCGCAGCCAGCGGTCTTTGCACAGTGTCACGTATGCCATGGGCCATACCATACCAGCTGTGGGGAGAAAACCAAACAAAATTATAACAGATAGCAAAGGCTGGGAGCCCATAAACAAGTCACCTTTGACCGCTGCCCGAGCGGCATGAAACTTTAACAAAGTCGCTGCTCTGCAGTACATACGGCTCCTTCATTCTCAGCGTTCGCCCAAAGCGCACCTTGTAGTCGGACTTGCGTATTATGTCCGTATACGAACAAATGACATCCTCGTGACTGGCAGCTATCTCTGGCCTCACAAAGCAAATGGATTTCTACACAAGAAGAGTTAAAAGGGAATCATAAGCATTGCAAAACATTTCTGCTGCAAACATGCCCGCAATCACCTCGCAAATGACCCAATCTAGTCCATCGCCGCAGTGTACTTTTCCCACTGGTTTGTAAAATTTCATGATATCGGGATTATCCACGGGTAGGTGTGGATGTCGGCATTCGCCTTGATTCATGGCCGACCTAATGGAGCGCTCGATAATTTCGCTGCACATGAGAATTGCGTGTACAAACAAAGTACATAAATAAATGATTATCTGCAAAGCACACACACGCACACACCCACACTTCACACTTCGCTTGTGCAAAGATAAATACATACATTTTAACATTTTTATCCACATCCCGCTCTTCGTTCAACACATACAAGGAAATGAGCAACAAAACCAGGCAGACGCCTACTACAATTTTTTGTACCGTCCCGCGGCGTAAGACTCTCATTTTAATTTATGGCTGTAAACAAAAATATTTAAGGCGAAAGGTCAACGGTGTCTCGGGTCCATTGTATTGTTCTGTGGACAGCGTACTCACCTCCGTATCCACGTATTGCTGATTCGACGGTTGGTGTTATATGGCAGTGGTGAGTGTCAAAAACTGTAATTAAGTAATTGCAATTGCACTCAAGTGCATTGTTCAAATGTTAACAACAATTGTTAACAAAATCTCGCGCCATGCACCAACAACAAGCCGGGCGGTAGAGGTGGAAGCAGTACCGATATAAAATATATCGGTAGATGAACAACTTGGGGATGTACGATACCACTTTCGGTAATTTTGTGGGTGAATTGAATAAAAAAGTTGTAATTCCATTAGAATATATATTTCTTAATCACCAAAAGTTGTGTTGGACCATTCATCATGCACAACTTTTACAAGTGCACACATATTTATTTAATTCTATATATCGATGTCGAGAATTTTGTTCTATCGATCATGAGGTTTGTGATTGCGATCCCACCGATATTAATTGTAAACAAAGGCTACACTGGCGAAAACAAGCAACAATTTATCAATTTACAACTTCTTTATTAGTTTTCGGGCCTATAGCGCAAGACCAGGCGCACTGCAATAAAGCAGTTATAAAATAAACAGTGCCAATCACCATATAATAGAAGGCATAAACGGTAAACTGTTCAAAAACATTCAAATCGAGATTGACATTCTCCGACACAACCACAAATGTTAGTATGCACTGCAAGAGGAGCGCAATAAAAGTGTTGAAGCCAAAAACCAAAGCAAAGCTGTCTTCCACAAGGCTGCTGGCCAGTTCAGAGCTGCAAGAAGAACAGAACATGGCTTACATTGACAAAATGAGAGATTGAGGATAAAGACAAACCTGGCCACTGTTATGGCAAAAGCAAATAGGCCACCGAATAACACATATCCCAGGTAGGAATAGTATATATTGCTGGTCCACGATGACAATAATATACAGCCACCCTCCAGCACGCACACAAAAGCTATTGTCAGAAAGCTGGTGCGCGTTTTCAGACGACTTGCTGGAAAATAGCCCGCCAGCAGCGAAAAAATGGCACTGAGGGCTGTCAGTGCAGCGTCCACAGCTCCATTCCATGCAATCTAAGGTAAGGACAAAACTGTGTACATTGGACGGGATACATTTGCATCCACTTACTGTTGGCTCATTGTAGGACTTCCACACCACCTGCATGTAGGTGCTGATCTGGAGAAAGCCCGCCAGGATCATGGCATACCATAGACTCCACTGCAGAACCATGGGATTTGTGTAGGCGCTGTGGAAGTGAGACCACAGTAGCTGCAAGGCTTGCACGCCTGGCTTTGTGGCAGGTGAAGGCGTTGCTACCTTTTCCTCTGGCATATTTGAACCGTTCTCAATGGCTGCAGCCTCGGACTTTGTGTCAAGGGATTGGTTATGAAAGTACAGACTCTTTTCGACCTTTGGCAGACCGAATGACCAAAACAGCGCCAGTACTTGAGCTGCAGGAAAAAGTATATGCTTAATTATTAACCCGCTGATTGCCCGTGTACTGCGCTCACATGTAATGCTGATGATGTAGAGCTGTCGGTAGACCATCCACTGCATTCCAATCATAAGCTGAGCCAGCAGGCCACCCACCAGCTTTCCCAGGAACATGGCCGATCGCGTGTATGAGGTCACACGAGGATAATACTTTTTATCGACTTTGGCATAGATGTAGGCATAGTAGGCCACCTCAGCAGCCTGATAGAAGCCGTAGAACACCTCAACCACCTGCAGGCCCGTCAGCGTTGTGGTCCACAGCAGCGTGCTCCAGACTAAGATGCCCGTCAGAGCATTGGCAATAATTACGGGCTTGTATCTGTTGAGAGAAAACAGAGCTGCGACCTTGCTGCTGCGATTGCAATATTGCATTGGATTACCTGAGAAAGTCTGTGATGAGAAAGACAAAGATTTGTAGGGCAAGATAGGAGTAGGTGCCCACGGGATAGACGGAACGATTGATTTCCTCTTGGGTGACATGATACCAGTCGCTCATCAATATCTCCGCGTGATACGGCTCCGAGGGACGGATCTCGCGCAGGAAACCGAATATGCATAATACCCACGATATCTTCAGCCACGACTCCATCCCGCTGCGGCTGCCAATGCGAATCTAATCGCGATATTTGCTACAACCCAGCGATAATGCTGGTGCGCGCCGCAGTGCACCTCGCGGTGTCTAGAAAGCTTAGACAACCTATTAAAATAATTACACATTCTTCCAGCCTTCCAGCCAGGGGGTTATGAGGGTACCTCTCTGACTATAGAGATTTCGTTTTGCCGTCTTTATAATCAGCGCAACCCGCGATTCGATTCGACACGATGCGAGATTTCTCAACGAGCAAAACCTACATGGACTGCACTCGGATGTGTCTGTGCTGCGGGCGTGTCGCTGACTTCACACACATGGCGATGGAGGAGCGTAGGAGAGATTGAGATCCGATGAAAAGTTTCCGCTAATTTGCTGTCAGCATAGCCAAAGCACAATCACGATGCAGTCGCTGATCCGTTCCCACTCCATGAAATTAAAATTATCAGCTAATTAGACTATTAGCGCGGCACTTAAGTGGATCTTTTAGTATAATTTAAGTTCTTGGCGACTTGCAAGTCTTTAAAATGTGGCTGCCGCCACGCTACACTTTTAAGTGAGATTCAATGCTGATTAGTTAAAGAATTTTTATCAAAATCATATGTAAAATGCGTAGTAGTGGGCTGCGATAAGTCTACAATAATATGAGCGGGAGATTCCCACGCACCATGACGGAACCAGGAGGAATATTAATAACTTTCGAAGGTGACATTCAAACTGTTCCAGTTTGTGAATTCAAAGTTAATAGGATGCAGACTTTTTTGGACATTTAAAATGTGATGCAGACCGTGAAATAAAGGGCAAATATCTGGCAGACTTTCAATCAGAATATATATACATAAAATGTACGAATATTTACCTGGCTAATAACAAAGAGCTGTCGACGTTCAGCAGTCGCTGGCGGCATTCCACAAAAGCTGCAAGCAAAGCTATAACACGTACGAATTGGAATGTGTCCGGCGAGACTACACACGCGCATATACATTTATTTCCATATTTACTAGATAAAGCTATGACACCCCTTTAAAATTATAGGTTGAAGCAGAATTGTGGCTCAGCAACAACCCCTCAAAGGGGTTGAGCAGAGACCACTTAGTCCCAAAGATCAGGATTGCCTTTGGCTGTTATTACCCAATCAGTTTAATAAGCCTTCTGCTGGACAAGTAAAAAAAGATTACCGTTTCAGCTAGACACAGCTTGATATTGATGCAATCGTTGTACATACGTATTTTACAATATCAACTAATTATCATTAGCACAGCACTCGAATAAAAACGACAATGATGGTCTATAAAAGCAGGTCTTTATTCCGCGACACTTGAGACAGATGATTGGGGGCTGTCTATAAATGGAACATATCTACACAGTGATTAGCCCAACTGTTGCCTTCAATCTTTCTTGGAATTCAATCACATTATCGTACACTGAAATCGCTTGAATACTTTCAGTGGGAACGAGACCTGATAGGAACACGTTACATCTAAACTAATTGAATTTGTGCACCACCAACAGGTGATTTTAAGTACTGTGCTAAATGCAGCTACAACTATTCTAACGCATTGTCCAGCTTCTCCGTGTTTGATGCTCGATATATGCACCATATATACTCGACGAGGACTGATATTAAATAGAGCACAGCCGCTCCAATGAAATAGAATGCATAGGCGGTGAACTGTCCCACCGGATCGAGCTCGAAGCCCGTGTCTGTGACAAATATCATGGTCAGCAGGCTCTGGAAAATGAGTGCAATCAGCGTATTGAAGCCAAATACGAGACCAAAACTATCCTCCTGCAGATGCCGGGCCACTTCAGCGCTGCAAAGAATTAAAAAAAAAAAAAATTAAAAAGAGTTCTATCAGCAGACTCATGGTGTATCTTACCTGGAAACGGTGATGGTAAAGCCATAGAGGCCACCAAACAACACAAATCCCACATAGGACCAATAGATATCGTTTGTCCAGCAGCATATCAGCACGCAGCCTCCTTCCAATGCAGAAAAGAAGGCCAAAGTAAGCAGACTTGTGCGCGAATTGAGCCGATCCGTGTGGAGATAACCAGCGGCCAAGGCACTCAGTGCCGCCAGTGCGGTTAGCACTGCATCCACAGCTCCGTTCCAGGCGATCAATGGCTCCGGTTCAATCACCTTCCACAGCAACTGCATGTAGTAGGTGACCTGCAGGTAGCCTGCCAGGCCGATGGCATACCACAGGCTCCACTGGATCACGCGGCCATTGGTATATGCACAGCGAAAGTGAGACCACAGCAAATACATGGCCTTGATCAGCCTTGGCTGCGACTGACTGGAAATCTCCAAACTGGAGTCCCCTGGCAAATCCGTTTGCGTGTACGAGGACTGATCCGATATGGCTTCTGTTGTGTCAAACGTTTCCTCGCGATGAAAGTACAGGCTCTTGTTCACTCGCGGCAGACCAAAGGCCCACAACATGGCCATTATTTGAGCTGCGAAAGGAACATTATGAAATATATTGATTTTCTGGAAAGTAAATTCTTGACACTCACTGGCCAGCGTTATGTAGTTGAGTTCCTTGTAGTTCATCAGTTCCAGATTGATCATCACTTGGGAGGTAATGCCGGATACCAGTTTGCCCACAAACATGGCAGCTCTTGTGTGTGAGGTGACGCGAGGATAATACTTTTTATCAACCTTGGCATAGATGTACGTGAAGTAGGCCACCTCTGCGGCCATGTAGGTTCCATAGAAGAACTCTAGAATCTGCAGGGACAACAAGCTGGTGGTCCAGATGAGCATGCTCCAGATGATTACACCAGTGGCACCAATTGTGACGATGAGCGGCTTGTAGCTGAAACGGATATGCAAAAAGGGTTAACTGCGATGTCTTCTAAGAGTGTTCTGTTCGGTTTACCGCAGAAAGTCGGTTATGAGGAACACAAAAACCAATTGCACCAGGTACGAATATGTCCCCACCGGATAGACATCATGGGTGAGCTGTAAGAACAGATTTAAATGATCATTTTCTTGGTATTTATAGCTTAGTGGATGCCATCCACTCACCTGAGTTTCTGTGATGTTACGCCAGGGACCCAATAGAAATTCCGTGACATACGGCTCCGAGGGTCGGATCTCGCGCACACATCCGAAGACGCATAGCAAGCAGGAAATTTTTAGCCACTCTTTCATTATGGAAATTGTGTAGCGGTGGTGCGCAACGTAATGTAACGTAAGCTAAAGCGCTAGCGTATGCCGTTAGGTTGGGTTGCGGCGGTCTTTCCGCATTCGTGGAATGAATCGCTTTTAGGTTTTTCTGTTGGTTTAAGCGCGGCCACATTTGTTGTATCAGGCCATGGACACCGAGCGTCAATCTAATCTTTGCACTCTCCGGATGGCCATTATCACTTTCAAATGCCGCATTTATTTTTATATTTACACAGAAATCTCTGTTCAAACGATTGTTAGATAATTAAAAGATTTATATTATGCGATGGCCGCCGAATGCAGAACTGAACGTTGCGCCACTCCGACAACAGCCGGCGTTCCACACACGTTTACTTTTTGAATGTCAAACAAACATTTACTCGCAGGCAATACATCGTACAAATACATACATACATGTACACATGAATGCATCCACTGTCCGATCGAAGCGCACAGGTGGGTGATGGGTGTTTGTTCAGTCCATCAATTTTCAGACACCCTACACGTGGTTCCGCTGTTGGCTCTAAGATCGAATCAAATAACTTTTTAGCTCTCTCACTGCCTTTGTTATCGATTTGTCACAAAAACAACACTTCATTTAAATTCAAATTTACCTTCCAAAAACAAAATAGTCATGAACAACCACAAATCAATTAAAATCAATTGACTTTTGTGCGCGCATAAATAAATTTCGATTGCATGCTGTCGCTGTGCATGTTACATCACAGCAACGCAACAGAGCGACAACGCCAGAGCAACAGCGGCGCAGCGCAGCATCTGTACAGTGCGCGGGTTTTCCGAGCGATTGGCAAGAAGAACACCGCAGATGTTCCCACCTGAATGGCAATTGCGTCAGACAAAACAAAAACAAAAACATGAACTATAATCGAAGGGTGGTTTTTGTTTCGGACCGAAGCTTTTGATACCCTTGCAGAGCCAGGGATATAAATAGATTTTAATTAAATGTGGATAGGGTAATAGGAAAGCTTATTTGATTACTGCGTATTAAGCTTTTTTTGATTGTGGTTGGAACTCCGAATAATTGATTTGTGAACTGTCCTTGCTATTGCAGCTGCTACGTACATCGATTCGTTTACTTTCTGCTAAAGTAATTGGACTCTCTCTTGCGAGAACGAAAACATCTGTTTATATATTGTAAAAAATACACGTTTATTTAGCGCGCTCACTTTAAAATTAGTAATGTGTTTCAATGTTGTACAGAGGGGGGGCTATTCGGTATTGTATGTATAACAAACAAATTAAATAGGAAAAACGTTAGCTATTTACACAACACACACGGAGGATTTCCCAGGAAATATTAACACCTCTACCACAATACATATGACGACGGACAGCTGCCGTTGGACACACTGTTTCCCAGACGGACATTCGAATGACTGGACTTGGACTAAAAGCTAAAATTTGCCACACTTGCGGAAATGGTTAGAAAATTACATGTAAAAAACTTTTTTAACAGGCAACAGTTACAAGTTTCGTTTCGACCTCCTCCTTTCGCACAAGCTTTTGTTAACGGTCACACCATTTCTTTTTTGATTCGTTTCGTTGATTGTTTTGGCCACACAATGTCCTTCCGCTCCCACGCAAGTTTACCGCTGTGCAATGGGTGTGGGCGTGGCCACGGTTGTCGCCGCACCACCTCCTGCTCCTGTCGCTGTGGGATCCGCCGTGACAAATTCAATGGACGCCGAATTGATGCAGTAGCGCTTGCGCGTTGGCTTGGGTCCATCCTCGAATACGTGCCCCATATGGGCGTTGCAGCGGGCGCAGCGTACCTCGGTGCGAATGCGTTCTGGATGTGCAATTAGTAGTAAAATATTGCCCCCTTTGTAATTTGTATTTTTGCATATTGTGAGATTAATTGGATACGTTTTACGTTATGTGTTTGATTTTATATAGCGCATTTTTTGTTTTGTTTGTTTCACAATAATTTTGTTTTGTTTTTTGGTTTGGTATATTTTTTTTGCAAATCAATTTAAAGTTTTTATAGAAAAATAAAAACCAATTTAAAAGAAAATAGATTGCAAAATGAATGAAATGAAAAGCGGAGGAGAGTCAGAGAGAGCGGGAGCAAGGGTTACATTCAGACATCAAACGAGAGAGCGATTGAATGCGAAAGAAACAGTAAATGTAACGGCAATAAATGTGAGTGCAGCGGAGACAGCAAGAAGAGAATGTCAGGTGACATGGAAATGGGGGAGGGGGGGGGGAGGGAGGAGTGAAAGAGCGAAGGAGAGGTGCAAGTGCAGCAGAGATCGAGAGCGAGAGAGCGAAGAAAGTAGAAGGATGGACGATCGCAATGAAGTCCCGTAATTGAGGCAAAAAGAGAGATGACAAATAACGTAACGAATGATTTATTTTGTTTGGTTGTATTTGCAGATCGGTGTATATAATAATCATTATGCGGTTAATAAAGCAAAATGTTTATGCATCATGTGTGTGTGTGTTTTTTGTTACAATTTTTAACAATGGATTTCGTGTGTTTGTGTAATTGTTGTTAGCAAAACAAACCCCCAAAGAACAGTTTATAGGCGTACATTAAGTTTTTTTGTTTTGGAAGCGAGTTAAAAAAAAGAGAAATAGAAAATATACGAAAATAAACATTATTCAGTTTGTTTGACACTATATATAAATATGTATATAGTATGGTATGGGTTCGGATACAGTAGTATTGCATTATGTCTTACATAAAAGAAAAATAAAATACTTTTGGCATGAGTAAGAAGCAACAAAATAAATAAAAACAACCATAAACAACAAATGAATCAAACCATCAAAATTTAATAAATAATATCGGTATACACATAATGGTGGCTATGGCTCCCTAACCCAAATATAGGCGACAGCTGACCTTGAACTATGATCGATACGATAAATGGGAATGTTGAGGGGGTTGGGTTTAAGCATTTTGTGTACGATGAGTGCCAAATGATTGTTACGTTTAGTTTTTTTTTGTTTGTATGGATTTTGTATTGAAACCGAAAGACAGTAGAACGTCGCGTGAAAGATGGATGGGAAATTCAACCGAAAATGAAATACATACTTTAACCAAACCAAGGAACTTCAAACTGATCGTTATGCCGAGTATATCAGACCTTTTCTTTTTTTTCGTGAAATACAATAATTATATTCTCTCATATATACAATATCTTTTGCCAAGTATTGTTTTTACGAACATTTGTTGTTTGCATAATAAACTCCTATAAAATATCTAAATATCTGGTTGTTGTTGGTTGTAATAATATTATAACACGTTAAATCTGCTTGAGAGACTTGAGAGGCTCATTCTTCATCATCCTCGATAGCTTGTTTTTTTTTTTGAGTGGGGGGGGAGGGCTAAGGTGTTCTCGCGCTACACACTATACACAGATCGAGCATTATTTCTTGGACGATGTTGGTGTTGGTGCCGGCGCTGCTTTTCTCACAAAATCTATCGACGCCGAGTTGATACAGAAACGATGATGCTTGGGCGGTGGTCCATCGTCGAAGACGTGGCCCATGTGTGCCGAGCACTTTGAGCAGCGCACCTCAGTGCGCACCATGCCTAACGTTTTTGAAATGACTACTGTTGTTTTAATCACATTAAAAAGGTATTCGGGGACAGAGAGAGAGATTCAGAATATAATATGAAGTTTTGGTTGCATTTGTTTTTGTTGTTGGACGTTTTTGGAGAAAGTTAGAGATTGGTTTTGTTTGTTTTTTAGTTGTTTTTTGGGTGGGGAAAAAGATGTGGATAAAAAGAATACAATACTTCAATTAGGAATTCGTTTTTAGTCTTTATTTCTTCGGTTAGTTGCACATTCAGGTTCATCAACATTAAAACATCACAGTAGCAATCAACAACAACAACAAGAACAACAACAAAATCATCATCAAATGGTCGGACAGTACGTCTAACGAACGGCACAGCTACAGTGAACATTAGGGCACATGTACCATTTCAAGACAAAACCAAGCAGTAACGTAACATTAAAAAAGCAAGAAAAAAACAAATAAAACAGGGGGGGAGGGGGGACAGAACAAGAATGAAAACATTTTGCAAATTATTATTTCTTCAAATAAAAAACTGTAACTATCTTTTTATCGTATATTACAAGTTATTAGACATCTGGTTATCTTTTTCTGAGGCTAGTTAGTGCCCCTCCTGAGCTCAATACAAACTTTGATTATATGGCAACAAAACGGCAAATGATATAAAAAATCAACTCAAAATTTTGCAAATAACATCTAAGAGTGCTAAACATTGTCTAGACAATAGATAGCCGGCTGGGACAGTCGGACAGAGCTAAAAACGGACCGAAGCTACATACCTGGTATACTGGCATCCCGATGCAGGGTTACCTTGCCCTTGTCGAGGACATCATTGAATGCCGGCCAGCCGCAGCCCGAATCGTATTTCGTGTCCGAGCTGAACAGATCCTGATGACACACAATGCACTGATACACACCCTTCTCGTAGTGCTTGTTGTAGCAACCTGTGGGTTGGGGGTTTGTTTAGTTTAGTGGGTTGTTTTGTTGCTTTACAGAAATATAATAAGATTGTAGGGCACCTGTGTAGGGGCGCTCAGTGCCCGCCTCCTGGGTAACCTGATACTGCAGTGGGGTTAGGCGTTTGCGCAGCTCCTCTTTGTTTACGGTAACCTTTTCGCTTTTATTCTCCATGTTGTTGGCTTTGCTGGGATTCGTCTTACCCTCGTCGCTGTCTGTAATATAAAACGGAAAATGTACTTAAACTGCGGTTAAGTTATGCGTGTTTATGTAGTATGTGCTGCTGCTTAGTTTACCAGCAATTGAGCAATGGAAACTGTATAAGTATGGGGAAGTGCTTTAGGGTGAGATTCAAAGTACATTTCTGGTCGCTAGGCTGACTTAATCTTTCGCATATCATGTAGACCTTCCAAGTAAACCTTGGGCAATCATAATTTGCTAGCTCAAAAGCAAATTTGTCGACGATAAGCAACCGGAGCCTTGTACTATCAGCCATGAATTGCCAAATGTATTTTCAGAAAGCCCAAAATCATCTTGTTTTTGTAAATAAAAGATGTGGGGGCACATGTACGCAACAAACTACACTAAATAGTAAAAATACCCTCCTCGTGGTGCACCACAAAATGCACTCAATTTGTATGCAAACTCCAAGGCAGACAATATACCTAATTGGGGGAGGTGTAAACAGATTGGTTAAGTGCAGTCGGAGGAGGAGAAGAGGCATTCGACTACAAATAAAGTGAAGAAACGCATGGAACTGCTACAAATAGATTGAAGAAACGCGTGCATATTGGTTTAAAAATAGTTTTATGCTGCAATAAAACCAAGTGGCGGCACGGCGCCCACCGATCATGAAGTGTAAACAAAATACAGAGCATAGACAGGGAAAGACCCGTTAGAGTGCAGTGGAGTGGAGGGGCGAAGCAGTCTAATTCAATTTGGTTTTTTTAGTAGAAAAAACCACTCGACTGTGTCGTAGACAATGATTTAATTTCGAGCAATCAGTGGCAGGGCAGGGGGGTAGAGTAAGGAATGCACAAGACAATTTGAACTAGAAAATAAAGTCTATAATTAGACATTGGTCAATCGATTGGTTGCTATATAAATTGGCTCAACAAATGAATCAAATCTATTGTGTGTGTGGCATGAAAGCCTCCGCCTGGACACACCCACACACGGCAACCAGACCAAGCCCATAACGAGAGCACCGCTCAGCCCCTCCCGTGCTCTAAGCACACTCACCTGCAAAGCAACGAGCGATGGGCATTACAGTTGCAGCTGCAGCGACTACTCCTAATGGATTGGGATGTCTCCACTTGGCAGCTGCAGTAAGTGCGAAATTTCGTGTGTGCCGCAGTGCGTGGCGAGAAAGTGAAAACATTTTTTAACTTTTCAGCCGAATATTTTAAAGTAAAGTGACAATCGGAAGGTGCAGGTGGAGACAGCAAAATAACGGAATGCCTGCTGCTGCTTGCTGCACTTGGCACTGGCTTGTTATTTAATCACCGTTCCGTTCGTTCGATGTGAATGGCGAGAGCAAAACAACATGCGAAAACAAACGGGAAAGTCAATGACAGGCCAAAGGTATAATAATTTGGGGGGTATGGGGCAGTCGCACTCTCTGTCCAGTGGAAAACTTTATATTTGATTTAATTAAGCGATCGGTATGTATGCATTTGGCTGCACTCACATGCAGGTACACATATGGGTGTTGCACGTCTTTACCTACAATCGTATATGCCTTGCACTGGCCTGTCCAACAAAACACCCACACACAAAACTAATATTTATGCAATTTCTGCCACTTCCGTCTTTATCCGTTCTATTTTTGTGCAGCTTGTTTTGCCTGCTTCCCTGTCCACCAGCAGAGAGTGTGCTTGTGTGTATTTGTTCACACGGGAGAAAGCGCATTGTAGAGAAAGCCGCTGTTGCTCAATTGCACACGCTCATTAAAGGAAAATGGTTTGCCTCGTAAACCTCCATACACAATTTCCTTCAATGTCAGAACAAATCCAAATATGACATCGCCCCATGGCCACTTATGGCGAGGGGGGACACCACGACTGGTCAAGTGTCCTTGAATTGAGTGGGACAGCGCTTAAAAATAAATCTCACCTGCTTCAAATGTCTGTTGTGTTGCTTTTCAGTGCTCTGTTGCTGCTGCTGCTGCGGCTTTGGTGTATTTATATTTTTGGCGATTGTTTATAACTTTGTGGGCTGGGTAAAGCGTGCGCGCGTCGTTGTAACGCAGCGAAGGAAAATGGAAAAGTTAATCAAAAAAGCTTGAAACAGCTGCACAGTTGGAAAATCGGCAAACAGCTGATGCGCGTCGAAGTCAGCGTAATTATCGATCAAATATACCGTCAGGGCCTCGAAAATATACCGAAATATACTGCAAAATATACCGAAGCATAAAATATACATACAGATGGTGTTATGGTTTCTTGGCTTATAAACCCTATCTGTGCTGAGGAAATTCTTAGGTTATCAAAAATTATCCAGTTCACTTCGATTACAAAGAACCTCCAATTTTAATGGTTCATATAGGGACAAACGTCTCAACAAATGTATATAAACAAAAAAGAGAGAGAAACCCCACACAGATGTGTTTTCCCGCCAGAGGCAGTGCTGCCACCTGTGCCCGAATAACTAGCTCTAAAATACCTGATTTGACTACACTGCTTCTCTCTCTCGCTCCCTCTCGTTGATAATCTAGATGGCTGAAACTGTGTGGCAGCGCTGTCGAAATTGTTATTTTTTGTGTCTGTGAAATTGTTTATCACAAAAAGCATCAGTGAAATTTTGAAAAATAATCCATTGTCGGGGGCTGAGCTTCACTAAAAGCAGCCAGAGTGCGCACCATGCGAGTGGAATTCCATTGAGCTCGCGAAAAGGCCACACGCAAAGAGGGCGTCAACAAGCCGAGGGGGTGGACTTGAGCAAGAGGAAGAGCATCCCAGAGAGATTAAGAACAGAAGAGTTTCGTAGTGATAAACCATACGATTGTGACAATTGCGTGTAGTATGAGTAACCACAGGTACCACCATGGGGGCAGCTACATGCATCCACGGATGTCCTATCCGCACCACTTCACTTACGTCAGCTCCTGCGTGAAATACATGATATTCCTGCTGAACTTCCTTTTCTGGCTATTTGGTGGCCTGCTCCTGGCCATCGGCGTGTACGCGTTCATGGACAAACTGAAGGATGGCAATGGCTGGCTGCGCCTGGACACCGTCTACGATGTGATCTTCAATATATCCTTGGTCATGATCATTGCGGGCTGTGTGGTATTTGTCGTCAGCTTTGCCGGCTGCCTGGGAGCTCTGCGGGAGAACACCTGCCTGCTGAAGTTCTACTCGATGTGTTTGCTTATGTTTTTCATCATGGAAATGACTTTAGGTGATGACACAGAGCAGTCAACAGCCGACGATTTGTATTAATTGTCTTCCCATTGCAGCTATTATCTGTTTTGTGTTTCCGCAGTATATGAACTCGTTCTTGGAGTCACAGTTTGCCGACAAGATCATACACTCGTACCGCGATGACTCAGATCTGCAGAATTTCATTGACTTTGCCCAGCAAGAGTTCAAGTGCTGTGGCCTCAGCAACGCTGGCTATCAGGACTGGAGTGAATATAAATCAACCTGCAACACAGTTTCCACCAACTAATGCGTAATCCTTCTTCCATTTCAGGCAAGAACGAATACTTTAACTGCTCCTCGCCGTCTGTGGAAAAATGCGGCGTGCCCTACAGTTGCTGCATCAATGCCACCGACATCAGTTCCGGCCTGGTCAACATTATGTGCGGCTATGGTGTGCAGGAGCATTCGGTGGCAGCCGCCAGCAAGCGCATCTGGACGAGCGGCTGCATTGAAATCGTGCGCGTCTGGGTGGAACGCAATCTCTATGTGATTGCTGGCGTTGCCCTGGGCGTTGCCTTGCTGCAGCTGTTTGTCATCTATCTGGCCAAGACTCTGGAGGGACAGATAGACCTGCAGAAGTCGCGCTGGTCGTGAGTGCCATACCATCATCCCTACCTGTACGGATATCCGTGCGACGATGACTTGTACTACAACACACAAATGTGAGAGATGGCCCTGGCGGCAGCTGCACGACTGCCGCCACTGAGCTGAATGAACAAATCTGGTCCTTAAAGTGCTCAAGTAGTTTTTTGCTTTCACTAAACGCCTCTCTCTATGTATTTTATGTTATCAAACCCTTTTTGCATGTAATGTTCAAGTTGCAATCATATTTATACTCTCTAGAAACAAAAACAAAATCTAGTTTTAGGCATATAAATGTAACCCTAATCGAATCAATAGTCGCAACAGACAATTTTTAAGGCAGCTCTGCATGTTTTTGATGTCTCTGCGTAGTCACAAATCAAAGCAAAAGAACAAAAGAAAAACATTTAGTGTTTTTTAAAAAACTCAAATATACATGCGCAATATCGTATTATTTATTAATAAAAGACATTTGTATATAAGTATTAGTTTACCTAAGAAAATACGCATTTAAAATGAGAAATTATATTTATAAAAAAGAACAAACTATACCAAAACAATTGTACTAGAGAATAAATAGAGATTTTAAGTATCCAGAATCTGTATCTGTGTTTGTGTGTAAACTTTGTTGTGCTACATAATCAAATACAGACGTAAATACGTGTAAATTGGGTTTATTTTTTATGAGGTTTATGGTACTGCACCTCCACCTCCTATTTATATATTCTATTGGATTCTACATCTAAAACATACCAGCAAAGACTACAATCACAATTTCATGCCCAAAACAATATTTTAGATTATTTATGAGACTTCTTGCTACCGACTTTTGTGCGTCACTAAGGCCCGTATATTTTGTAGTGTGTTTTTTTGGGCCGAAAAGTACTGATTCGGCGGACCAACTCCGTGCCAAAGAAGCATTTTCTTACTAACGCAAAATTTTTCGTATTCTTAACGTATTTTCCATCAGTCGCCATAGATCTGTTATACCCATATATTCGTTTATATCAAGCTCCAGCCTACTCTTGTTTTCGGGGCCTAATTAGTGTTTACTCGATAAAAGAAAACTTGTTTGCCACTAACCAACCAACATGTCACTTGCCGCTTGAAAGCCGCTGCGTTGCAGCTAAAGAGACAGGTCAAGTATGGCGATAACCTGATCAGAATTGAAGCAAGTTGTGAAATTCTATATTTAAATGCCAACCACAATCTCGAAACCATTCAAAGTTCAGTTTTTGATAGCGTCCACGCAGATTATAAGAGCATTCGAGAAGTGGCACAATTCATTCAAGGCGACCCCCTGGCGATAAGCTAATTCATAAATAAACATTTAAATACACCTTCTGTTTATTCTAATAAAATTTGCATTCTGATAAAAAAATGAGAAACAATCATCTGAGGGGGGTACAAGATGAAGTTTAGTACTTGATGATGGAGCGAATGCTTTCGCCTTTGTGCATCAAATCGAATGCTTCGTTGATCTGGGATAGTGGCAGCTCGTGGGTAATGAACTCATCCACCAGCAGATCCTTCTTCAAGTACGCCTCCACAAGTTTTGGCACATCCGACACGGAGCGCCAGCCGCCGAAAGCCGAACCCTTCCACACACGTCCCACAACCAGCTGGAAGGGACGGGTGGCAATCTCCTGGCCAGCACCAGCTACACCAATCACAACCGAAGTGCCCCAGCCCTTGTGCGTGGCCTCCAGGGCGGCACGCATGGTATTCACATTGCCAATGCACTCGAAGGTGTAGTCGAAGCCGCCGTCAGTCAGATCAATCAGATAGTTTTGAATCGTTCCCTTGTCGGCCACATCCTTGGGATTGACAAAGTCGGTGAATCCGAACTTCCTGGCCAGCTCGAATTTGGAGGGATTGATGTCGATGCCATAGACCTTAGCGGCGCCAGCCTTCTTGCAGCCCAGACCCACTGCCAGTCCAACTGCACCCAGACCCCAGACGGCGCAAGTGCTGCCAGGCTCCACCTAAAGAATTGATTAGAAATCTGCCACATAGCAAACCCAAACAATACGCACCTTGGCTGTGTTCAAGGCGGCACCATAGCCGGTGGAAATGCCACAGCCCAGAAGGCACACCTTCTCCAATGGAGCCGTCTCGTTGATTTTGGTCAACGATATGTCGGCCACCACCGTGTACTCGGCGAAAGTGGAGGTGCCCATGAAATGGAACAGCTGCTGACCCTTGCACGACAAGCGGGAGGATCCATTGGGCATGACACCAGCGCCCTGGGTCAGGCGAATCTTCTGGCAGAGATTTGTCTTGCCGCTCTTGCAGAATTTGCACTCATTGCACTGGGGAATGTAGAGGGCAATGACATGATCGCCGGCCTTGAAGTTGGTTACGCCCTCGCCAACGCTCTCCACAATGCCGGCACCCTCATGGCCAAGGACCACAGGAAAGAGACCCTCAGGGTCGGAGCCGCTCAACGAAAAAGCATCCGTGTGGCAAACGCCAGTGGCTGTAATCTTAATGCGAACCTGCCA